AAACATTTGCGGTTTCTTTTGCTCATATTGAAGCTGTGTGCCCATGGAAAAATGGGCATTGCCCTATTTGCACAAAGTGGTGACCACAAATATTGGAAGGATTGCATGGCGCATACATTCCTGTTGTGCACTTTTGGAGTGCCAAAACTGACAGTCTGAAAAGGACTGTAGCCTAAATGCAAAAGTTCTATGTGATCAGAAACATTATGAAAAATTTCCTGATAATCAGGATGGATTCTGTGAGCATATACTTCTTACGTGTATAGGTTCCATGTTCACAAGTTGGTAATCATGTACAGAGAGGAGGCAGGGCCAACATGTTTGTGTCTGCTCCCCTTCCAATGAGTTGATTTCAATTTATATAATGTCATGCATAGAAAGCTTTTATCGTCAGTCATATTATATACTCTGTGTTGTACACTTGTAACCCTATAATTACTAGTGACTAGTGACTAGAAATACGTTTTATACTGTTTACTTTCATCATCTGGCATGAAATACATACTTTATTCTGTACTATCAGTAATAAAATTGTAACATAAGGTCATTTTAGAAGTTGTAATTCCAGTGTCAGATTGGTGCCTATACACAGGCTCATTGCACACGCACATACACACCCTGATCCAATAAATTCTTATTGGTGCAAGGTTCCCATGCAAACAAAAAGTTTCCTACTATTAAAGGCTACCTTATTTATTGCTTCTTGAGTTAACATAGCTAGCCTTGACTTTGCACAAATGGATCTATCATATCCACTGAATGAATGGAAGGCTCGTGTGCTCTAAGTTGGTTGACTCATATTACCTTTGTGGCATAGAGAACCACTGCACCATGGCTCCTTCCTCAATAGTGCACTGTACCATCAGAAACCACAGGCCATAGTGGAATCCATGGTGCAACAAGTCATAAGGAATACTACATTCAGATAGGACACTGATCTCAGTAAATGTTCAGGCTTAAATATCCATTAGAAGCTTAGCAGCATATCTGAGCCTGAACATTTACTGAGATCAGCGTCCAATTGTCAAGCGTCCTATTGTCAAGCACTTTATGAAACAGAGAGCTTTTGTACTACTCTAATATCTCCTGAGGAAGATCCAATTTTGAAACATATAATCTGGAGACGACATTGATTATGTACCTATGCACAAGGATTTTCTTATGATTTATTAATGATGTTGTAGTGCTCTAGACTGTAATACATAGGAAGCTTTTTCTTTGCAAGTCTTGGTGACTGCTTGATTTGTGGGTCAGACTCTCATGACTGTTGTCTTTATACTTATATTGTTTTTAAAAAGACATCTCTGCACACACACAAAAATGCACAGTTCAGACCTTGAATCAGCTGCTGTGCTCAATCAATGGGTAAGCAAAAGCCACCATCCTAATAGTTTGGCCACAATCTTGAAGGCCCAACTGCAACACTTTGAGGCCTTCCTTGAGACCTAATTTTCCCTGTCATTAGATATCAGCTTCCCCCCCCCCCCAAATGAGCCAACTAGAGAAGATGTTCTCAGAGAACCTTCTGAAGCCCCCCTCCCGATGTTTATACAAATATATTCCTTATTTGCTGTAAGGATCTGGAGACTGTGGGCATTATGTGGAATTAGTTTATTTGGATTTCAATAGGCACTGTTTCTACAAAGGTATGCTTAAGACTGTTTCTCATACTTGTCAGGGGAAGGGTTCTTTCATTCACAGTCCTGTTGCCACAACCAACATGAAGGTCAAGAGGAAAGATGTTCCATGGCTGCTACTCCAGTTTTAGAAATGGAGCAGCTTCTATGAAGTTTAAGCAGCCATTCATCAGCTGGGGGAAGGTTTTCCCCATGGATTCATAATGATTAGACTCCCATCAAATCCATACCGATGAATCTTTTTCCTTGTCCTGGAGTTTAAGCAGATTCCAGAAATATTTGCATTTAAAGTAAGAATCTGCCCACTGGCCACTATTCCTGGTTTATTTCAGAAAATGTACATGTTGCCTCTCTCAAGGCAGCTCCAAAAGCAACCTTCTGTATACCAGGCAGAATTATAATAACTTTTCAGAAATGTAATGACGATCATGCTGAACCCCAAAGGCTTCTCAAACTCTTGTGAGGCTCCTCTTGTGAGAGCTGGTAATTGTTATTAGGCATATGTGGCTTGCTGTGCTATGTTCAAAGATGTCTGGGGAATGAGGGGAGATGGAAGGCTGGCTGCTCCGCATGGATACAATATACGCAGAATGGGTGAGAACGGCCACACCCACAGGCAGCAGCCGCCACCAGCTGACACAAACCTTTAGGCAGGTGATGCATTAACACTTGCTCCTATGCACTTCGAAAAGTGTCACAGGAGTGTCTCTAAGAGCAATGAAGCAAGACATAAATAATGTGTAAGAGGAACCAAAATTATGCAGCCTTCTCTGAAGTTTCCAGTTTGTTCTAGACATCACACTACTGGGCCAAATATTTCGTACAGATTTTTAAATGCCATAAAAAGATTATTATATTTCTGTACTAAATGTAGAAGGGCATAGTAAGATTGATGTTAATCATATACTTTGTATTAAAAGTCAGGATTCAATAAGTGCTGTACAAGTCTTGCTTTTTATAACTACATTGGAAAGGTATGCAAAAAAAATATGTTATGGATCTGCAACAGACTGCTAAGGGGGTTGCAACAGCAAATATAGCAGTGGACCTTTCCAAAGTCCTGACTGTCAAGTTATACAGATGTAAGCTGATAGCTACTTATTAGATTTGGCTCCCAATCAAGCTTGCATGACAAGGAATTAACCTTTAAATCCAGCCTCTTACCTAAAGAAACCTTCACACGCGGAAGGCTCTACCTTTCTTTGCTATTCATGGATACCCTTGATGTATGTTGTTATATTGCCCTATGCATGACATGTAAAAAAAAGTGATGATTGTAAAGTAATGTTAAATGTAAATAGAGAATCATGAACGGTCAGCTGAGCTGTGTACTATGTAAAAATGCATTCGAGAATATTTTTAAATCAGATTCTTTATTGCATGGCATACCCAATTTCCAGCTCCCAAAATGAGAGACTATTTTATTTGCCACTGTTTTCCCAGATGGATTAAATGTAAATTTCATTCAATCATATGCTAATGAAACATTTTGCTGCGATTTTTCCTTTGCTTAGAGACTAAACACTGTAATTATTCTTGTGCAGACTGTTTCTTAAGATACATCAATCCATTGTACTACTTCATGTTGCAATTGGAAATGGGGGGGGGGAAACGACCTGGTGCTGGAAAGAGCCATGAGGCTGCAGCCAACTTATGGCCACCCCTCTAGGGGTTTTCAGTGCAAGAGACGAACAGAGGTAGTTTGCCATTGCCTGCCTCTGCGTAGCAGCCCTGGCCTTCCTTGATGGTCTCCCACCCAAGTACTAGCCAGGGCTGACCCTGATTAGCTTCCAAGATCTGACAAGATCGGGCTAGCCTGGGCCGTCCAGGTCAGGGCAGGGGGGGATAAAAAACAAGAAAGGCTGAAATGTTATGTGATCTTGTGTCTCCAGGATTACCTTCTAAAACGAGATTACCATTCATTCACCGCTAAGGAGATCAGAAACCATGGATCACCGTACTTTTCCCCAGATGAGTCATCTTCTCTCTTTCTTAAAACAAGGTGTGATGAACTGGCCCATTACGCAACCAGAACAAAATGTATTTGTGAAAGTGGCCTGAGAGGTTTCAACCAAAAGCGAAGTCTTTGTTTTAAAATATAATTTACGACAATTTAAAAGAAAACACTACTTAAAATCGCTATGCCAAGAAAACAGCTGAAAGTTCCTTTATGGACTCTAGCAGAAGGCATGTTAAGGGGTTCTGCATAAGCAGGGAACTTCCCAGATACACAAAATATCATCAGTTCATCGTCGTCATCATTCCCCACCCCATCCCATCCCAGTCCTGGGAAGACTGAGCATGTTTGTTGCCTAGCAGGAAACTTCAAATGTTGATCAAACATCCAATGTTGATTATCAATTCAAAAGGGGGAGGGAGAGGGAGATCCCAGTTCCTCCTCAGCCTCCCATGCAGCAACTCTCAAGTTCAGGACTATACGAGGAACTTTGTGTTCAGCAGTCAACAGGTCAGATTCAGCCAGGTATTTCATTTAATCTCACTGCCCTCCCTTCCTTAAGAACATAACAGAAGCCCATGTTGGATCAGGCCAATGGCCCATCCAGTCCAACACTCTGTCACACAGTGGCCAAAAATACCAGGTGCCATCAGGAGGTCCAGTAGTGGGGCCAGGACACTAGAAGCCCTCCCACTGTTGCACCCCCAAAGCACCAAGAATACAGAGCATCACTTGCCCCAGCCTGTGAGTTCCTATCTATACCTTGTGGCTAGTAGCCACTGATGGACCTCTGCTCCATATGTTTATCTAATTCCCTCTTGAAGCTGTCCACACTTGTCGCCGCCACCACCTCCTGTGGCAGTGAATTCCATGTCTTAATCACTCTTTGGGTGAAGAAGTACTTCCTTTTATCTATTCTAACCTGACTGATCCTTCATCCCCCATCACTGTTGCATGTGCAAGCAGGTCCCATGATTCCCAGCTTAGCCTTTTTGGTGGCCGGGGGGACCTCAACTTCCTTTTTCGTCACTGGAAAATCCCTATTACTACAATTGCACTTATGCAGTTGTCACTGGAAAACCCCCATTACTACAATTGCACTCTGGACTAGGTGACTCTGAAGTCATCTAGGACTTAATTCAAGGGCCTCTCATCCATCCCCCACAGCCCACCGGTCTTGCACTATGGGGAAAGGCTTTCATAATCAAGTCCCTTTAAAGAACAGTTATCTATACAGATGCATATGAAATCTGCATACAGGTGTTAATATCATGTACTCTGAACCATAATGCAACAAAAATAATTCTGTATTTCAAAGGATTTAATTGTAAACATAACAACAATGAAATGCTCAACTAGTCCAAAATATAATTATTTAGAAGAATTCCAACAGATTCCCATGGGCATTTCAATCAGTTTACTTCCAGTCACCTGAATAAATACATCTGATTTGTAGGGCTCTGGTACAGACTACATTTGTAGGCCATTAAAATATGCCCAAAATACTTCCAAGAAAAGGTGTTTAGGACAGAGAGTCACTTGGTCCTGGAAACAGAGCTGCACCTGTGCTTAAAATCCAAGGCCACTCAGATAGGACACGGGAATCTATTCAAGGAGCTCTCATCAGCCCAGCTCTGCTTCTTACATTGAACGCCAGCTATGACATGGCGGCTTCTGTGCCAGCAGAGGGTCTGGGTACCAGGAGAGGGAAGACTCACATCTTATATGCAAGCCCCCCCACACACACTTTCCCCCTGCCTCCCTCCCAAAGCAGTTCATGTAATTGGGCTAAACTCAATCATCATAATTTCTCAGTATACATGCTATTGTTGTTTTAAATAACATTCAGCAACTTCTACACACCTGTTACTTTTCATCTTTGAATGCTGAAGCCTGCAAAAAGTATCAACATAATGTCATCTTAGCTTTGGAATGTAATTTTTTTTTAAAGTACTTAGACCACATTAATGCAAAATCCACGCTCCTATGCCAAACGTTCGAGCAAAGAATTGCTGAATAATTTCTATGAAATATAAAATTAGAAGCATGCTTAAAGAAAAATGAGGCACATCTCATTTGATGTTCATCTGTGGAGTCTGAGGAAGCATGACGAAACTGATTTGAGATCTCCACATCGTATTTCAGAGAAACAAGTCTTGAAAGTACTCATCAAATTCTTCCTCCCTGTAAAATAAAATAAAATCAAATTAAATTGTTTCAAAAACATGAAGAAATTTTACTTACTGCTACTGAAGGCACTTCAAAGCACCAGTTGATGATGTCTTAAGTGATTGGTATGTATTACTATAATAGCATATGATTTAGGAATCATGAAATTATAGATGCATTGCAGATTTACTCTTATCAATTCTGCAAACAGATAGAGAAACAGTAATGCCAATATTGTTTGGGCATTACAAAAGGAACAAAAAGGAGCTGAATGACAAACACTGAAAAGCCACGTTGGATGACTGATATGTGTGGGTGGGGGATACAAAGGAAGATGGAGCATTTACTAACAGTTGCCCATCATTTCTCCATAAGTGCCAATGAGAGGCTACAGTTTTGAAGGACTAATACCATAGTAACAAGTGAAGATTAGATGGACGATTGGGAAGAGGAGTTCTCCAGTTCTTTTTTTTTGTTTTTTTGTTACTGTTCTTTGGAGGGACTACAATGAACTAGGAGTGAACTCTGAGATTACCAGTCTTAAAGAAATTACATTTATGGGTTTATTCACTAAACAAACACAATTTTAAAGATGACAGCTGTCCATCCCAGCACTGACCGTGTTTTTTCTTCTGTCTCTTGCACAGGACCCTTCCAATAGTCAGCATCTGAGGGACCATCTCGGTCATCACTATCGCTTGAACCTGTTAAACAGTGTGACTTGAAAAACTATTCAAAATAACTTTTACTCCATTAGTTTCTAATTATGTCTGATTAACAAGACTTCCTTAAAATATCCAGTGATGAAGAAACACTGCACACAAGGCCTAGAAAAAATTGTGCCACTTAAAGTGCTATTCTTGAATTCTTCCAAAGGGGAAGTAAAATGTCTGTTAAAATATGTCCAGGTGGGTAGCCGTGTTGGTCTGAAGCAGTAGAAGAAAGTTTGAGTCTGGGGCACCTTTAAGACCAACAAAGTTTTATTTAAGGTATGATCTTTCGTGTGCACGCACACTTCTTCAGACGCTGCTCAATCTGCTTACTCTATTAATTTGTTTCATCTGCCTTAGGGCACTGCCTATACCAACTGGGCACCAGTATCAGTCAACCCTGGTTACTCTGAGAGAAATGTAGCACCTCACCTTACACTGTTGCAGCATTGCACTGCAGTTAGAAATTTTAAGCTGCCATTAGGTATTAACTTAATGTATTTTATCTTGATGAAGTAGTATGACATTTATATGAACTATTATTTATTGTTTTACTATGTGTTGTGAGTTGCCCTGAGCCCACTTGCAGGGTAGGGTGTGATACAAATAGAATAGAATAAATAAATAAGCAAGCTTTTGTGTGCATGCATACTTCTTCAGATACATTGAAAAAGAAGTCACCAACCATTACATATAGATAGAGGGTGAGAAGGGTGTTGCCAGGAAGGGCCAATTAGAGTCAAGATGCATAAGTAACTGAGCAGTAAATATAGATAAGACTGGATGAAGTCAATTGGTAAGACCTGTGAATACCAGCAAATTAGCATACAGCATAATAAAGGAGTTCACAGTGGATGTGAGAATAGAATGACATTAGTGTAGTGAGATAAGAAACCGATATCTCTGTTAAGACCTGGGGGTTCCATTGTCCTGAGTGTTGTAATAACTTGTAACTCAGCAATCTCCCATTCTAGTCTGTTTCTGAAGTTCATTTGCAATAAAACAGCTACCTATTGAATGTCCTGGAAGGTGAAGTGTTCTCATACAGGTTCCTCAGTTTTGTGATTCCTGATGTCAGATTTGTGCCCATCTGTTCTTGGTGTAAGGTTTGACCTGTTTGCTTTATGCAGAGAATTGAAGGGGACTGTTGGTATTTAATGGCATATACAATGTTAGAAGCACAGAAAAGTGCACGCACATGAAAGCTTATACTCAGAATCAAACTTTGTTTGCCATAAAGTTGCCACTGGACTTAAATGTTGTCCTGCTGCTTCAGACCAACACAGCTACCCACCTGAAACTATTACTTACTATTTGTCTAGCTCACAGAGTGAGAGTTGGACAACACAAAAAACGAATGCCATCACTTTCAGATAAGGCAAAGTGTGCAACATCTTCCTACATATATCCTATTGCCAGAATCAGGATATGTAACAGCAGACTGATCCACTGCTCTGAAAATATTCTTTAGAAATATTCTGCTGGAGAGTTAGGTATCGAGGCCATTAGTGAAACTGCCTGCTTTTTAGGGAGTGTGTGAAATCAACATACAATTTTCTTCCTTCAGATCCATGATACTTCTTTCCCAAAACAGAGACTACTTATCAGTTTTAAACTCTGAGATTGTCCAATTCCCTTCTCACAGCTTTTTACCTTTTCAGCCTTTGATTTTGCTAATGAACAGAAAGAACATTTAAACCAAAAGAACTGAAAACAACACTACTAATGATTTTTTTTCAAATTGTTGAATGTCACTTGAATTACTTACCTTTATCAGAATCATCTGATTCTCCTAACAATGCTTGTTCTGAAAAAAAGCCACCTTACAATTAATTTATTACATAAATATTTACTCTTATGATTATTAACTGACAGAAATCTCGCTTTTGCCAGTAATTCCCATGGCCCATTTCCAATCCTTTCAGTCATAGTTAATGAATGGCTAGTGATTCATCTGCACTGCCCGCAATTATTTGACATTTACCAATAAATCTACAGTGGTGCTAAGTTGCAGAGGAGGCCCATTTTGTGAATACTGTTTGCCTCTCCCTTTTTAGCTGTTTTTTTTTTAGAATGCCCTTGTAAAAGAATGTGAAACTGTGCTTACAGGCACTGGTATCATAGTGGTACAGAGAACATATCCCTATTGCCCAGGTAACTGGGGTGATCCTCCCTCACCCAGGCTCAGCCATATGTTATGTGCTAATTGGGGCAGAATGCAGATTCTCATGCACCTCTAAAAGAACATCCCTCTGAAAGTGTGTCGGAGAGAATGAAGAGCATCTTCATCCCAGCCATATCCTGCTCCAACTATTTCCAAGAAATGAACTGGATCAGCAAACACCTTGCCATGCAGTACAACAAAAACGCTAGGCCTCCTCAACAAAAGAAGTTTACTCTCTTTGCCTCAGTAAGGGCATATACTTTCTTTGCCCTCAGATTCTAGCTAGCTGCTCTACAGACCAATTTCCACATTATGGAGAACACGTTGGGTCTGGGGTCCTCACCCTGTATAACAGTCCTGAGTTCCTGGATTGTGCTGACCACAATGCACACCCCACTGTGTACTTACCATTCATCTTAAAAAGGTATGACTATCTGATTTTTTTTACCTACAGATAATAAAATCAGTAGTTCTCCCCCACACACATACACTTTGGCTTTTCCTATCAGAACTAATCTCTACTACAGTCCTACTGAACACAACACAACTTAATTGTCAGAGTCCTTGTGATTTCCCAGAATATAAAACATATCTGCCAATTATTCATGTTTAAATTCAATAAAAACTGAGGGAGGTTACCTTTATGTTTCTTCTTTTTCTTTGATTTGTGTTTTTGTTGAGAAGATAATCTCGACTTCTTACTTTTTAGCACCTCAGAGCTTTGTTCAGAGCTTGCTCTCTTTTTCTTTGGTTTGACTTCTTTTCTCCTTTGTAACAGAAATAAATCTTAGAGTTATACTAATGTGCCCTTCCCATTACAAATACATACACAAACATAGGCTGCGATCACACACACCTTTAGATTTATTTATTATTTATTTATTAGTTTGATTTATATCCCGCCCTCCGAGAGGCTCAGGGCGGCTCACATGCAGCAAAGCCGAGTGCAAAATACAATACAGTATATAATAAATAGAACATTTAAAATCACAATAAAACCTTCCAATAATACGGTGCTATACCTATATTAATCATCCAAGATGGGGACAACCCCCCCAGGTTTGGTGGCCAGCTGTCTCAGTAGCGTGGTCTCCCACTACACTGTCTCAAACTTCTGCCAGGGCCCGCTTGTCCCCATTCTTATAGGGCAGCCGATGACTTGCCACCTCGGTGGTAGAATAGTGTCAGCAGCGGCTCCTACTCGAACGCCTGGCGGAAGAGCTCCGTCTTGCAGGCCCTGCGGAACTGCATAAGGTCCCGCAGGGCCCGGATCTTCTCTGGGAGCTCATTCCACCAGGTAGGAGCCTACACCAAAAATGCCCTGGCCCTAGTAGAGGCAAACATAATCTCTCGGGGACCTGGCACTCCCAGGAGATGGAGCTTCCCCGATTGTATTGCTCTTGAGGGAACATACGGGAAGAGACGGTCCTTCAGGTAAGCCGGACCCTGGCTGTTCCAACATAGTTACGAATGCCTGACAGATCTAAGAGGCGTGATCAAACAGCAACATCTGGGAAGCATCCCGCAGTCATTGGCAACCCGTGCTGCTCCGCCGCAGAAGCGGAGTTAAAAGACACCAGGGAAAGTCTGGCAGTAAACGGGTTCCAACGGGCCACGGACGAACTTTCCCCTGTCTAACCGCACAAGCATGCACTCATGCCGTCAGGATGGTCTGATCAGGCCATTCCCGGCTCAGTGCCATTCCCCTCCCTTCACAGTATGCGCATTATCGCATACTCCATTGGGGGCCCTCAGTGCAGAAGTGTGACTCCTCGTTTATGCGCAAGGGACATAAACGGCCAAAAAAAACCACCAACTCACCCGCAGTTGCGTCTGATCACACAGTGACGGGGTGAGCCCGCACCTACAAAGGGAGGTGTGATCTCGCAACTGCGTGTCAAATTCCTCCGGAGGGAATAGCCTCGCTTCCCCTCCACTTCAACTGGTGCATGTGACTGCAGCCATAAATGGGCTTTTAAAAGAAAGTTATCCTTAAACTCCTCGATAGTTGGCCCTGTAAGCTTGAGTTTTAATGTTAACTGAGCTGTGTTGGAAAGGTGATGAATAAATATTAAATAAAGAAGATACCTTTCTTATATATATATTTTTAAAAAATAAAGTTATGACACCACCCTATGACCTGCAAAAAAGAGCCAAATTTTAGCTGTACGCCTGGTGGGGGGAGGTCTATTTTATACACACATAAGACGGGAGTAATTTATATATTTACCTGTGGTGAAAATTTAATTTGTAAGAGCATTCTGGACAAAGCCCTAAAAAAAAAAGTGAAAATCTCTTGGTGAAGAAAAGGTTTGGTGGCAGTTATATACTCATCTTCACATTTAAAATTTTACATGCTAAGCAAGACTGTCAGTGGTAGTTTTTAAGTTTTGAACTGAAAAGGCTGAGAACCTTAATAAAAGCTTCTAATACATGTATGTAACCAGCCATTTTCTAAGTTTCCATTTTAAGTGGTCCCGACTTCTAAACATTCAGGGGGCCTCGGTGTAGAAGCTGCTGTACCTCAAACTATAAAGAAACAGCTCTCAAATTAAGCTGAGGACTGAGTATTGCTTGCAATTGCAGACACAGGATGAAAAACTTTGGGGCAGAGAAAGCCTGGATTTGCTCAGAGAAGTTCTGGAATCACCTGTGAATATATTAGATAAACATGGAAATTGTTCATCTACAATAATCCAAAAATGAGAGCTAAACTAGATGGATACTGAGATATCCTCACATTCTATACTCCCATAATTTACCAGTAAGGCCATACCGGGAAAAGGATGTTGCCTAGGAAACTTTAACACAAACACAGACAACCATCCAGCCCTGTTGTCTGTGGTCACGAGGAAGCCACTTGACACGACACAGACATCAGCCAGGGATCCATCCCTGAAACTCTGAATCCACTAGCCAGCAGATGAGGCAGGCTCAGGTGATGCATGCTACATTCTACAGCAATCAGTGGCTCAGCTATGTTATGACTGACTTTAAGTCAAACTAGGTAGCACCTTATGTCTTAGAATTGTTCTTTAATCAAAGCTTTTAAATGGCCACCTATAAAAACGTAACTGTCTTTTCTTTAGTGTGTGCACATTAACCTTAAAAACACAACTATTAATGTCAATACTATATGAAGGACTCACTCAATTTAACAAGCGCGTTTTTCTTTTCCCCTTGCTCAACATATCCAAAATTCACCTCCCAGCTCTTCAAGCCTTCCTTTTCATCACAGTGTTTACTGCCACAGAAAAACTGTCCTGCAAAGAGGTCAGAAACAAAAAACAGTTGGTTCATGAGGATTCATTTTATGTTTATATGTTTAATATTGTACAACATTAGCCATGAAGAATAACAGATTAGGGTAGTTCCAAGTATTTTAATTTATTTATTTAATATTTAGCCCTCCCCCCCTGCACAACAGGCTCAGGACAGGTTACAACATTATTAAAATATACAACATAATTGAAATATAATACAACCTTAAAATCTGTAAAATTATTAATTAATCAGTTCACAAAGCATTACTAAAACATTTGATGGCGTCTGCTGTGCAATTAAAAGTCCCAAGGGATTCTGATTGGGGGTAGCCAAAGACGGAATGATACAAAGCAAATGGGTGGGTGAAAAAATCAACCATGATGGAATAAAGCAGGGCTGAGGAGGGAAGGCCAGTATAGATGAATTGCCCCCACCTCAAGCATAGGCCTGGCAGAACATCTCCGTTTTACAGGACCTGTGGAACTGTATCTCACCTAGGAGCTGAAAAGACCCTGGCTCTGGTTGAGGCTGGGCGTACATCTTTTGGGCCGGGCATCACCAGTAGTTGTTGATCAGAGGAGGACAAAGCCCTTTGAGGGACATATTGGGAGAGACACTCCTGTTTGTATGTTGGTCCCAGTACACATAGGGCTTTAAATGTTAGAACCAGAACCCTGAACTTGATCTGGAATTCAACCGGGAGCCGGTGCAACTGACACAGCACTGGATGTATATGTGCTCTTGGTGATGTCTCTGTAAGGACACACCCCACTGCATTCTGGACTTCTAGACTGCATTTTAATCCCTTTCATATTTTGCACAGTTAAGGGCAGGGGGGAAGGAATGTATTATGTTCCATTAATGATCAAACAAGTATAAGGGGAGTGTATCCTAGATCTTCCATGAGTTTTTCCTTAGTAAAGAGTGAAAGTTCTGGGGTGCCATATGTAGTTGTCTTACCAGAAACCTAGGCGAGAAAGTAGTTTTCAAAGAGCCTACAGTGCTCAAAGAACTTACTTACTGGATAGACAGGTAACAGTAGTGGCTAGGAGAACTTTTTATTGCCTCTGATCCAACCTTCCTCCAACATGTCTACAGGAAGTTGGAGGAAGGTGTCACACTTTCCTCAGTGGAGTGATAGGACAGGCGTAGAATCCACCCATCAACTTCATATTTTACTAATGTTATTCCCCTTTCTGGAGAACAGGCATCTTGCTATGCTGACTGATGTTTTATAAGCTTTAGGACTGACTACTTTGGTGCTATTGATGTGGGGCTGCCCTTGAAAAAGATCTGGAAACTTCATCTAGTGCAGGATGCGGTTGCTCACCTTCTGATAGAGATTGGAACAAAGGATTTCATCAACATTGGTTGAGACTGTGGCATGATCTTCCTGAAGAAATTTAAAGCTGTTTCGGTTTTCTAGATGTTTGAAGTGGTGACTGAAGAGGGAGTGGAGTAGCCCTTTGTTAATGCTTGTGTTGATGTTTTTGTTCTTAATACATTTTTAATTGCTTTGTTTTTCTTGCAAGTTGGTAAACATATGGTAAACAATAATTTAATGGAAATATTCTGGGACTTATTACCAAGAAGAAAATTTGGCACTTGTATGTCCCCAACCCAGAGCATGCCCAAAGGAATTTTGACTTTTTCCCTTTGGGAAACAGCACTCTCCAATACATCACACTCTAAATTAGTTTTCAAACTCCCTGGAGTTTCCAAACAGCAGGACATCCGGCTATGTTGAGTGAAGGAAGGGCTCTTGTTCAAAACAAACATGCGAAATGTCCTCCTGGGCAGTTACTGCTAGCCAGGCAATTCTCTGGATTGCAGTGTATGACCACTACATTATTTTATGTTTCAAAATGCTTATTTTCAGAAGCACTGCTTCAATAACAAACTAAACAGCTTTGTTTAAGATGAACCTGTTAAATAAAACCGCAACATTTCATTGGATAGTGTTCACATGGTCATGTGAGGATCTGTATTAATAAGCTCACCTCCAGGACTGTTTTTGAAAGATTAACCTCAGAATGGTCTGCCTAAGCTGCTATCCAATGGATTGACGGTGTCCTCAAACACTTCAGTTCTGCAGTCTCAAACCAAGTGAAATGCTAACGCTTGGAGCAAAGAATACAGAGCTGCCGCCGCTCATGTACTTCATCAAACTCATTCAGACTTCATATTTTTTTTATTAAAGAAAAGGAAAGGAGCAAAATCCATTGTTTTGCGTACTTGTAAAAATTAAATGACAAGCCCTTTCTAACAACTGATGGGACTCACAGCTTCCCATGATTCTGGGTAACCAGGTTTGTTTTAAACTATAAACTTTATCTTCAGTTAACAGGTGTTCTAAAGGTAGCGAGGGTATAGGAATGGGTTCACTGCCATACGTTTTGTGGTGCACAAGTAGAATATGGAGATCACTGAGGAATTTTATATAAACAACAAAGAAGATTTATTAATTTACAGGTTGGTTTCAGAGAACAGATCAGCAGCATGGGTCTCCAGACAGTCAGAGGAGAAACCTGGTTGAGGGCACATAAGCCAGTTATGGCTTCAGTGTGTGTTTAAATTTTCTTTAACACTTTCAGGCACAAACTGGCTTTTACTGACTAGCCACTAGATTGGATCCTCTCACATACACAGGATTCCACCCACACTAGCCTGCCCTTTCCCAAGGGTCAGACTAAATGGTACATGGTCTGCTCATTACCAGAGGCAAGCCTGACAACTGGGTACTCTGTTCTCTCCCAGAGATAAGAGCCATACCACTCTGCCACAGTACCAGGTAGAGCTACCTTTCAAAGTGTCTGTTCTTTCAGTGAGCCAGACCTGAGCTCTCACTGCTGTCTCTCTGCGGCAGATCTGAACACCTCCTGCTGTGCCTCCCTCTTACATTCCACCCCCTTTCTGAAAAGTGATTGGATGCTGGAGCAGCACTCCCATAGGCTCATCTGAGTGGCTGTTTTTCCCTTCAGGTGCACAGTAAACAGTTGTTTTTCATAATGAAAATAGTTTTTTAATCACACCTTTAGAGGCATGTCTCTTGCCTTGAAAACCCCATGGGATCACCATAAGGCAGCTGTAACTTGACAGAAATATATATATACAGAGGGGGGGGGGGAGACAGAGACACAGAGAGAGGGAGACAGAGACAGACCAGTATAAACAACTTACTGATTTTAATACGTTAGACTTGTAGCCTATGTTATAAACCTGGCTGCCATCTTGTCTGGGCCCAACCCAGAAAATAAATTAAGGATTATAAATGGACTGGATAACCAACAAGTTTTCAGGTACAACAGCTCTCTTCATCAATCTGGGGGAAAACCCCAGGATTTACGTAATGACTTTGAAAAATACATATCTGTGGCTGAATAAAATGTCACTTGGGGAGGTTCAACTGATGAAAAGCTTTGGCTCATTTAAAGATCCAACTGACCATCATATTTGTTGCTGAGAAGGAATCTGTTCCTAGATCAGATTGGCCAGTGACACTGCATCTGCTGTGACTGCTGAAATTCTTCACTGGTGGTATGATGTGATATACCATGCTTGTGGCTTCTGGAAAACCTTTAGGCTGAAATCACATGTGCTTTGTAAAATGCAGGAAGGTTGAAATATAAATTGTAAACCAACCTTCTTGCATGGTCATAAATCAATTCATTCACCCACCCACACACAAAACCTTTATTGGCATGAAAGCACAAAACATCATGGAATTACGGGAAAATACTAAGATGCATCAGTCACTTACACTTGGCTATTCAAGCCTCGTCTTCTGATTACATAATATAAAATTTTGCAATAGCCTCCATTATTTCGCAATTAGAATAATTCATTCACCCAGTACAAACACACTTAAAACAGACTGTTTTTCAAATATCAGAAACCAGATACTCACACATCTAGAACTGCCCTTTTACATCTGCAAAGCACTTTAAGCGGTATGGGTGAATTCAGTCCCAAATTATGTAGCTTACATTCAAAGGGAGCATCTCACCATGAGATTGAACTTGAATCACTTTCTGACCATTTCCACCCCTATGATTCTATGTAGATTACAGACAGAATCGCAAATGCTCATTTTGTTAACGTCAAAGTATCTACTAACAATTCAGGCATATAACATTGGCATAACACTCATAATGTTAAATGCGGACTGCAGTCCAAGGCCCACATCCTGAATTGATGGAGCAAAGCCTCCGCTGTGTGGTAATGGCTACAGGTTTGACTTGGAGCAGGGAAACTGGATTTAAATCTCTGCTCTGGCATGAAGCTCACTGAGTGACCTTGGGCCAGTCACGCACTAGCTCATAGCTTAAACTACTTCTCAGCATTAGAAGGAAAACTGAGGCAGTAATTTGATAAACAGCAATATACATCCATCTTTCATGATGGCATTACTATTATGTAGTCAAATGTGCATAAACTTAATCAGGAAAGCTCCTCCATTAGCATGTCACAGCCTGAGAAACTGCTACAAGATAATCACTCAGCCCTACCCCGCCTTCCTGAGTAGATATAAATTACCTGCCTACCATTTTTCTTCTCACATTGACACAGAGAGTACTCCATCTTTCTGTGTTATACCTCTCAGGATGCCAGTCACAGCTGCTGGCGAAACGTCAGGTACTACAATGCCAAGACCACGGCCAAACAGCCCGGAAAATCTACAACAACTAATTAACCATCTTCTATTACAAATCTTGTCTCACAGCAGAGCACCAGGCAATCTCCTGCTATCAGCAATGATGCCAATAGAGAGGAGACAGCAGAAAACAGTTTATAAAACTCAACATTAAGGAATCAGAAAAATATTAGTTAGATTTCTTGATCAATGTCTATTCCAGTAATTAACAAATGGTTTCCATCGTATAAAAATATACTGCACACACAGTGGTGGTGGAAAGTGCCACCAGGTCGCTCTGGACTTACGGCAACCCCATACAGTTTTCGAGGCAAGAGATGTTCAAAGGTGGCTTGCCATTGCTTGCCCCAACATAGCAACCCTGGACTTCCTTGGTGGTATCCCATCCAAGGACTAACTAGGGCCAACCTGCTTAGCTTCTGAGATCTGATGAGATCAGGGTAGTCTGGGCCATCCAGGTCAGAGCTACTGAATACACAGGTACTACTACGTTCCCCCATTTACAAGTTATAACATTAAGAGTTTCCCATCTTGCCACTGTTTTGGTTCTGACCAACATGAAACCATTCATAATTAATTCCAAGTCATCTTCTGCTTCATAAACTTACCTATATTTCAACACAAGGGACAAAGATTTTAATGGTTCTCAGTGACCTGGCTACCTCTATCCAGACATCCTGAATTACAACACCGATGTACGTAATTAGCATTAATTAGTCCCCATGTCCCCATAATCTGGACACAAACAATCCCAAAATAGGCATTTCCTAGTACCAGTGCTTTTGGCCCTTTTGACCTAAGCCCATCTCTCACTGTGGTGGTAGAACCAGCACAAGCCCGGGACAACCTTATCACTTGCTTCAAGGGTGTACTGCAGGCTTGTTGGGTTGTACATCTTTAATTGTATTTTGGTTTGTGTATTTCATTTTCTAAGCTACTCTGAGTCCCCAGAATGAGAAAATCAAATTAAATCAAATTAATTTAATTTAAATCAATCTGGAATGCAACCTACAAACACTGAAGTCACTCAATATAGCTTCCACTGACTTTCTTTTGTTATGATTACTGACTTTGTTAAGCCATTCTTTATTACTTTCCTGTAAATAGATCCACATTTAGCTCTTGAACATAGTTTTCTGGCCAAAATAATGGTTACATAATGTATGCTTTCTAATTTAGTTTTAGAATATTCAAGTTAGCAAAAATATTTACAATGGAAAAACTCCATCTTGATTTTAAAGGTAGATATAACATTTTATTCAGGGTTGGTGAAATTAACTAATATTAGCCTTTAATAAGAAAAAGATCCTCTGCTAAAACTAAATATCACTGTTTTCAGTAGCCTACAGTTTTTCACCCGTATTGGTAAAAATTCAGGCTTTACACAGGTATAC